CTTATCCCTATAAACCGTGGGAGTCGGCCACCAGCGCTTCTCCAGCCGGCTACGGCGTACACGCACTCGCTAAAACCATTGTTTACGGCTGCTCTGAACGCTCGTGTACTTTACTAACTGGGCCCTCTCACAGGGCGCTGCCGTAGGAATCGAACCGCCATGCCGGTTACTCCGTACGTCTTAAGGACGGAGGTAACTGTCGGAGCGGACGCAGAAAACGCTATGCCATGCCATACCGTCCTGAAAGCGAACCACTCTGGAGCTGGAGCCTAGAACGAGGATCGCCGCGTTTGCATACACGATCGACGTACATCTCGCGTGTGGTCGAGACCGTAGATGACCTCGTGGATATTCCCGCGAAGATAAATAGCTGGCCATCGATCTGCTCGGAGCAACTCTCTTTCAATTAGAACCGTACGCGTCAGTGAGTTACCGGCTAAAGCGATTGCCGTTATAGAATTCAGCTTAATAAAATAAATAACTTCCTTTTAACGATCGATATTATACAAAGTTACCTTTCGGTGTTTACAATAGCTTTCGTTTCCGAGTCGAAGCCGCGCGTCCGAGCTATTAAGACATTCAAATCGCATCGGATGTGTCTTCTTTTTGGTTACTCAAGCGGGAGGAGAGCGAAGAAGAGGAACGAAGGGACGTATTATACATAGCAGCTCTCTTACGTAAACAGTAATGGTCCGAGGCTGGCTGGCTAGTTCAGCTAGTCGGGGGGGGGGGGGAGGGGAGGGAGGGAGGGAGCCCGTGCAGGTAGCCGACGAAACGTGCAGCTACCTTCCGCACTTTCTGCCTCCGCTCTTCTCTGCCTTCGCTTCAGCCAGTCGATACCCCAACTGTCGGTCGGTAATGGCGGTGCTCTCAGAACTTAACAACGCGTGACAATATGCATCAAGGAATTGCTCGAGCGCGGAACAACTCCGGCCGTGCTCCTTTCTCTCCCGTCCTTTCTTTCTCTCTTTCTCTCCCGGCTTCCGTAACGCGAACACCTACGAAGAAGAAGAGGTGCGTAGGTGCGTACACGCGTTTATTCTTCGCTCCGTACGCGCGCCGGCCGCGAAACTCGCTCGCTCGGCTTCGAGCTCTCACGGACAAAAACGTCGATACATTATGCAACTCTTCGGTCCATAAACGAACACTCCCGCCAGGAATCCACGGCGGAATCCTGGGAAGCTCTTCCCGTGGCGTATATCGGGTTATCTCGCCAACGGTGGCAGTCCAATTTTCGCGAAGCTTCGGCACCTGGATCGCCGCCCGTCATGTTTATTAATTTCATCTGGGATTGCGCCGCGGAATGCCGACAATCTCGGCGATCTTCTTGCGATCTGCGAGAACGCATCGTAGATTTTTTTTTTTTTTTTTACTTCCGTCATTTCCACGCGTTCTTTCTCACGCTAAAACTTGACGATGATAAGATGCGAAGTTAATAGATGAAAAATAAAAATGTGATCACGGTTCTACTTTTTCCTTCTTTATTTACAAGAAAAGTCAAAATGCAAGTTTTACACCACCGTTTTGCATCACGTGAGTTAATCGTTAAACATTCACGCTAATTGTGGCACTCCGGTGCTATGCGGTCTACCATAGAGGTGCACCTACCCATCCATGCTCGATCGAGCTTTCAAACGACAAATAGGTACCACTCTTTCTTTCTCACTCATTAACCCCATTACCCGTACTTGGCCACCATACGAGCGCGCGCGTTGTAAACCAACTCACCGACATACCAGATGCATATACATTAATACCAGTTTGCAGAGCGCGCCTTGTAAACATTATTCAACCGCCTGTACGCCTACGCGACTATTATTACCGCGGCGTGACCATCGATAAAACACGGAATTTCACCGCTGATTAACTCGAAATGCAACACACTGCAAAATCACATTGGTATCATTACTCGAGAAAAGCTCGTTTATCCTTTTCTTAAAAAAAAAAAAAATCTTTACCGTTCTCTCCTTCCTCCGGAACGGCAAATCGATCGCAAAAAGCGGGGCGTCGTTATCACTCGCCGTAGGCCGATACCGCGATAGGCAGCAAGCCATGGCGATCGACAATCCCGCGGCATTGCGAGCGCGGTGTCCTGTTAATGAACAAAAATTCGCGAGCCTACTGGAGCATGGCGAGAGAGCAACCCACGTGAGATATGTATGCGAGTGCGTTTACACTCGCAGCTATATCGGTCATGTCTGACAGCGCCGTTGCCGCCTACCCCTCCCCCCCTCCTCCCCCCTCCCTCCCCCCCTCCCCCGATTGACAGCGGCGGTTTGTCTGCTGCACGCAGCAGGCCGGGTCAAGTAATTCCAGTTCTCTCGTCGTTGGCGATGGACGGGACTCCCGTCATGGAGAGGAACGTATGTAGGTAAATATAAGTTGCGCGCCGGAATGGCCAGCGCGAGGAGGATAGCCAGGCCCGAGTAAAAGGGAAAGAGACGCGCGGCTTTCGTGGATAAGTGACTTTCGAAGAGCCACCTGTGGCACGTGCCATTAACGTGCTCCCTTGCGTGTCCGTACGTGCGCGAATGTCTCGATATCCCGCCATCGCCGCAGCGTCGTGCCGCGTGGGTGTAACAGGTGAGCGCGGATACTGTTCTCCTTGCGGACGGACGGACGGACGGACGGACCACTACTACTCTTGTAATGTACGCTGCAATTTCAAAGGTTGTAATTGCACGGGCCGCGCCGAAGGAAACGGCGGAAGAGAGGAGGGAAAACGAGTGAGAAAAACACTCGATCAACATCCGACACGTACTGCCCTGGATATAC